AGAAACACTGTGTGTATGGGAGTTGCTGAGGGGGAGGCAGCACTTTTGGTCCTGGCCCCCGTTTCCCAGTCTTCTGGGCTTGGATATGAGGACATCCCCAGCTGGCAGCAGCGCGGCCTCAGGGAGCCAGCCTTCAGAGACCTGGCCCAGTCTCTGCCTGGGTGCTGAGATGTCCACGGGCCTATCTTGGGAGGCAGTTCTGGGCCCCGACTTGGGCACTGTCCGGAGATGGGGTGGGGCCTGACCTCTTACAAGAAGGCACCCACACTGGCCCAGTCCTGCAGGTCAGCGGCCAGGGTGGCATCGCCTGCTTCGAAGAGGGGCTCTGGGGGCAGGCAGCCACTGCCGCCGCTCTCATCCCAGGGATGCTGGAGGAAGGACGTGGCCAGAAAGGTCTCATCGAAGTCCAGGCTGTCAGCAGCCTGCTCCGCTGGAGGTCCCCAGGTGGCAGGGCAATCCATGTGTCGGCCATGGACAGTAAGGTCCACACCTCCGTGCGAGGTGGGGCTCAGCGGGGGGCTGAGCTCCAAGGCCCCCAGCGAGCTCAGCTCGTCACCCAGAGTGCCAGCCTCAAAGATGGCCTCCCAGTCAAAGTTGCCTTTCAGGGGTTCCAGCTCACCCTGCTCCTCCTGGGTCAGCAGCAATGTGCTAGGAGGCCTCAGGGCTTTGGCCACCCTCTTGGGCAGCGGCTGCTTTCGCTTATGCCCCAGCCTGCCCTCTCCTGTGCCCCAGCCCCCCTCCCCTGTGGCCTCCTCAAACTCCCGCAACAGCTGCTGGGCCTCGGTGTTCACGGCCAGAGGCCCACCCCAGGGGGCCGTGCTGCGTTCCTGGGAGGCCTGGCGGGCGAAGGCAGGGTGGATGTGGACTGGGGGCAGCCTCCGCTTCTTGAAGGCCCCACTGAGCAGGCGCTCTGCATACTGGGGGTCAATGCGCCAGAAGCCTCCCTTGCCGGGCTCGTCCTTCTCTCGAGGCACCTTGATGAAGCACTTGTTCAGGGACAGGTTGTGGCGGATGGAGTTCTGGATGCAGCGAGAGAGAGAGAGAGAGAGAGAGAGAGAGAGCACGGAGGATCAGGGGAGCGGCACCGCGGCGGTGGGGTGGCCCCGGGCGCTCCCGCTCCGCTCGCTCCCGTACGCGCCCGCCCGCCCGGCATCTCCTCTCTGACCGGGGAGGGGCGCATCAACCCGATGCCCCGACCAGGCAGGCAGCTGTAGCTCTGGGACTCTGGGACACCAGCCACAGGGCATGAGGAGCCCGCAGTGGAGGGGGGGGTCGGGGGGGCTTTTGTTCTCTGTTGCCGGGATATCTGCCTGCTCAGTCATCCGAGCTCCGAGCCACAGGGTGGTTCTCAGTGCCACCCCCTGTCACCCTCCCTCCCTCCCTCCCCCTGCTGCTTGCAGGTCCTGGCCAAAGCCCTGAGCTCCCCCACGGCCTGGACTGCTATCTCCCTCTGCCTGGCTGGTTCCCACTGTTTGTGAAGTGGGTGGGTTAAGGGAGGGGTGAGGAGGGACTGTGTGTGTGTGTGTGTGTGTGTGCGCGCGCGCGCGCGCGCACGCGCATGTGTGTGTGTGGTGGGAGATTTAGTGACTCCTTGTTTGTTGAGCCAGCTGCTGGCCTAGGCCTTCACCCCCCATGGTCTTCTCTTCCCACCCAAACCTCAGTTGATTATTACCCAGCCAAGTGCAGAAGGCTCATTCCCGGGGCCTGAGTTGGCACAGGCCTTGAGTAGGGAGAGGATGGGGGGGTCTCCTGACCCAGGGTTAGGGCCATTTGGGATGCCTCAGGACTTCGATCCTGCACCCTGCCTCCGCAGGTGCTTCAGTGAAGACTGGGCCACCTGAGGCCTCTGTCTCCACCACCTGGACCCTGATATTGGAAGACATTCAGAGCAGTGTGGACTCCATGCCGTGTTCATGTGTGGCTGCTTAGTTCTGCTCACATCATGCCCGTGTCCAGGGGCCCAGGGTAGGCTAGCTGGGCAGGTAGATGGACAGTGAGTGGCCCTCTGGCCAGCAAGGCTGGGATGTTTACATGACAGCCCGGGCCCACTGGCTGCTCTGTGCCAGGTTCCAGAGACTTGGAACCTGAAGCCATTGTAGCAGCAGCAGCGCCCCTGTGGAAAGCAACTGGCTCAGGTAATTGCCCCCAAGGGAGGCTGGGGGGTGGGGTGGAGGCAGGAAACTGGGGAGGAGTTGAGGTGGGAAGCTGGGTCAGTGGCTTCAGGATGACCCCACGACCCCTCCACCTGGACAACTGATATTCGCCACTGCTCATCTCTCCCTACCCTCTGGACCAAAGGCGGAGGCAGGGCGCAGAACCTGGTAGGAAGGCCACCTCGGTTCCATTTTGAGTCCAGTTCTGACAAACCATCCTTGGGCAGAACGGTGTCTAGGATTCTGGGACGTGGGACAAGACTGTTCCTAGTAGTGTCACCCTCATAGGAGGCTACCCTGGGCTACAGGACCAATGTGCCCTTCGGATCCCTCTTCTCCTAAAACTTCAACGTCTGCCCCCAAAAGCCCTGGCTCCAGAACTTGACAGGGCCCTCTCAGGAGTGGCCCGACCTCAAATCCAGGTGCCTCCTTGGGCTTGTGGATCTGGTATGCAGCGCTGGCCAAGAGCCAGATCAGGGAGTAAGGAAGGAGCGGCCTCCGGCCCTTCCTCCCTACCTGCCAGGTGGGATCCGCATGGCGAAAGTAGCAGAAGTTGTCGGTGATCCACTTGTAGATGGCCGACAGAGTGATCTTGGTGGCCTTGCTGGCCTGCATGGCCATGCAGATAAGAGTGGCGTACGAGTAAGGTGGCTTCACATGCGGGTTGGTGGCATAGTCCACGTCGTCGGGGGGCGGGGCCTGCAGCCCTGGGGGAGCGCTTCGAGATGTGCAGGACGACGTGGGCTTGCCGGGTGTGTGCGGCTGCCCAAGGCAGGCAGGGTCTGCCGCCAGGGGTGACCCGGGCGCCACCGAGCCCGGCACTTGGTGGTAACCGTGGGGGTCGGTGCCCCCCGGGGGCAGAGTGGGGGCCTTGGCGTTGAGGATGGAGAATTCCTGTAACCACTGCAGGCTGGTCAGGCTGTCATCCAGGGCGTCCGGCTCCTCCATGCCGCCCTCCGGCCCGGCCTCCTCCCCGGGCCCTGCTCCGCAGAGGCGCAGCCAGCTCTCCGCCATGTCTGCGGGGTCTCTCCGAGGGGGCGGTCAGCATCCACGGGCTGAGCCGGGTGGCCCGCCGCGTTCTCCGGCCCGCTGGTCCCGGAGGCTCCAGTTACACAGCCTCCAGAACACTCACTTCCATTCCGCGACCCGGGGGGTCGCCTCCTCCGAACACGAATGTGGGGCCTGCGGGAGCGACGCGCAGCTGAGCACTCTTGCCTACCCCGGGGTGAGACCCTTCACATTCGTCCTCCAAGCCTGACTCGAGGTCACGGGAACACAGAGCTCTGGTCTGACCCCTTCGAGGGCCCAGCGGCCCCAACGAGGGAAGAGGGCAGGGAGGCCCAGTCTAACTTCCTTCCAAAGATCCCAGCCCCAGTGGTCCAGGAAGGCAGTGCGATGGTGCGCCTAAGGCTGGGGCGGTCGTCTGATCCTTGGACAGGGGTAGGAGGATGAAGGGTCCCGGGAAAGGAAGGACACGGGGCCGAGTTATGGAGAGGCAGGCAGCGATCTCCCCTAAACGCCTCGGATTCGGTCACTGGCCCCGCCACTTTCGTGGGCGACCGATGGAATGGCTAGCCCCCAGATCCTGACGCCCTCCCATTCCGTGGCCCACGGCCCTCCCAGCCCCTTACCTGGCTCAGAGAGGAGCCGGGCCAGAGGAAGGTTCTGGAAGAAGTTCCTCCCACCTCCCGCGGCTCTCTGTCCCCAGCTCGAGGGCTCTGCTGGTGCCCCTCGTCGCCCCCCCTCGCCCGACGGCGCTTCTGTGAGCGCCGACGGCCCGGGGACCGGCATTAAGTAGACGCTCGGAAGGCTTCTCCTGCTGCCATGGCGACGCTCCGCCCCTATAAACAGCTTCCGCTGCTCTCATTGGCCAACATGTTTCCAAGGAGACCGCGGGCCCTTGCTGCTCCTCTGGCGGCAACTCTCTGGAACTCCCTCGTTCTGCCGCCCTCTCCCGCGCCACCCAGCCCCCCTACCCGCCACCGCGACCCGGCTCTGTGCTTTCCCGCCCGGCAGCCCCGCGCTGGGTCGCACGGCGGGCGCTCGGCTTCCGCCCGAGGCCCCGGGCGCCCCTCCCCCACGCGTCGGGTATGACCGCTGCGGGGACCGAGCCCCGGATTCTGGAGACCAAGTCTGGGGAGCCAGGTCCTTGCAGTCTCCCCTCACTGGGCTGCCAGTGGCCTTTGTTTGGTGTCTGAGGACTTTCCCTGGCCCCCGGGTGTCTTCTCTGGCGCCCGCAGGCAAGTGTGACTCTCTGATGCCACCTGTCGCTTATATCCGCAGAAACGGCCACACAGCTCGCAGACACACCGAGGCGGGTAGGGTAACCCAGCGTCTCCGGGTAAGCAGCTCGCCCACTCACCCTGCTCAAGTTCCCGGAAGCTGGCATTCCAGGGGCATTTGACGAGGTGCCTTTCCTCCCAGACAGCCTAGGAAGCAGAGCCAGTGGGTAAAATCGGGAAAGCCACGGCCTGCCAGATCCTCTCGGAGAGGTTATTTGTTGTGCTAATTTAGCCAGGAACTGGTTAAGTGGCGGAAACTAAGAAGTACAGGGACCTGGGCCTTCGCCTTCCCTGCTGTCACCAGCTTTGCGGGTCTTTAATTATTAAGGAACTGCAGAATTGGAAGTTCTCCGGTTTAAGGCGACTGCAGGGGCAGATAGGGCTCGGCTAGGGAATTGGGCTAGAGGCCTTGCTTGTATCCAGACCATGCAGAAATTTCTGTCTGGTGTCCAAGAGCATGCCTCGCCCATTCCTCCTCCCTGATCCTTGAGGGAGAACACTGGGGAGCGCCCAGCCACTGGCAGAAACGTTCTCAAATGAACTCACTGTGTAGGTAGCAGCTCCCTTCCCTTGTAAACAGCTTTATTCACTTTTAAGAATCATGCAGCAATCCATAAATATTGCATTTTGATGTCCCCACTGTAGTGTGCCAACTAGTGTACTCCAGGAGAGTGAAGGGCACACAGACAGCACAAACAGCTCGCGCGCGCGCACACACACACACACCAGGTGTGCGGGCCCTAAGACAAAGTGAGCAACCAGCATGCCAACACCAGGTGGGCAGGACTAGCGCCCCAGCGAGATACATGGCTTAGTGTCTACGTCCAGAAGATGCCGCGGGGGCGAGGGTGGGTAATAAACTCTGGCGGTATGAAATCAGGTAAAGTCAAGGGAAACCCAGGCCACTACAGTACCCAGAGCATGGAGTGGTACCAGTGGTAGTGTGGTGAGGAGCCAAAGGCCCTCCAGGAAAAGGCCCCCACCCTACTCGTGGTCAGTCCTGGCATGGGGATGGGGACTGTTTCCAAATGACAGACTGGGTTGAGTGTGGCAGCTGATGGAGGTCGGCCTCTGTGGATGGGCTATTTCTGCTTGCCAAGAACTAAAGTACAGAGTGAGGGGCAGTGATGGGTGCTCTAGCCTAGGAACTAGATTATGGGGCTTAGGCCAACTGGGCTCTTGCTGGGGGGGGGGTGTTCCTGGCCACTGTGGCTACTGTTTACCTGCATTTCCTTCATCTCAGCTACCCCCGTCTTCCAGGTCACACCACACTGTGAATACCGCTTACCTCCTGCCCACCCGCCTGCCTGCCTGGGGAGGGGGTGGGTCTGTGTGCACCACCCACCCCGGGCTAGGGGAACTTCCCTGTTGCCTCCGCTTCATTCTTTGAGGAAGTGTGGATTTTGCTCCGCCCTCAAGTGTGAATGCTAGGGGACAGAAAGGACATCAAGTGGGGCTGGGAATGGCTGAGTCCACAGGGTGGTCAGAAATGGTGCACGTGGGCTCTCAGACTCAGTTTACCACACTTCAGGCTCCCTCCAGGGTGTGATTCCCACAAAAAAGGTACAGGAGAGGTGCATCATGGTACAGGGCTGTAACCCTAATGCTTGGGCAGTCCTGGCAGGAAAGTCAGAAGTTCAAGGTCATCCCCAGCTTCACAGCAAGTTTGAAGCCAAGTTCTCCACCGCATCCCACCCCCAGGATCCTGGGCACTGCTGGTTTTTGGAAAGCTTTTGTAGGGCCACACTTGCCAAGTGTAAAGCTCCTCATATCCCGCTCATAAGTAACTGTTTGTAATCTTGACCCCCAGCCATCTCATGTTCCACTGAACAACTGCCTTTTCCAGAAGCCAGTAGACTGGCATCTGTTTAAGAGCCACATGAGAGAGATCCACTGAGATGAAATGGTGGGACACCCCACAATTTCTGGCCAGCTTCCGCCGTGGCTGTGAGTGCTGACTGGAGGGATCTCTAAGCTCTGGCGAGCCCATGGAGGTCTGCCCCTCTCACCCGTCAAGACCTGAAAGACAGGGGAGGAATAAATACACTAGGGGAGGGGGGGGTTTCTAATCCTTTGGTCCCCAGGTGATCCAGCTTGGCTCAGAGCTTCGACACTTCCTTGGTGTTCCCATGCTCTTAGTTTAGTTTTTCAGCTGTTAAAAGGGGGTAGAGAGAGGGTAGTTGTGTTTGAGACTCCCTCTCAAAGGCTGTAGTGAGATGGGCTATGGTAGCACTCAGCCCTAGCACTGTACCCGGTAGGGGGTGGGGGTGTGACCCAGCAGGCCTTCCTGACTGCACCTGAGGAGGACAAGGCCTTGCAAGAGTGACCATCCTAAGCAGGAGACACAGGAGACCCGCTCTGTCAGCAGATCTGGCTTTCAGTCACCCTCCCGACTTCATAGGCTTGAGACAGGAGCTCCTGGTGGTCTGGAAGGCCAGAGTGCAGGTGGCCTCCCTCATGGAGCCAACCCTGACCACACTCCAAGTTAGGTTTCTAATTGGTCATGAGGTGCCAGAGACCAGAACCTGTCTGTAACAAAGTTGCCAACTCCCCAAGTCTTTTTGGTCTCTCCTCAGAGGAGGAAAGGCTAAAGAAACAACCAGGCTGGCTGGGCTTGGCTGCTGTGTTACAGTTCACTTCCGGTTCTTTCTGAGAGGGTAAGCATCATGGCTGCCACAGATGAGGTTGCTCCCCACATCCTGCCTCCATGTGAGTATAAAGTCCACGTGTCTTATTGAAGATGCCCAGAAGGCCCGTGGTCCAGTGAGGACAGATGGAATGCAGGGACAGGAGGGGGCCCAGGTGCAGGTGCCCTCAGACAGCCAAAGGGTCCCATCCACAAGGACTGTCGTCTTCAGGGTCCTCCAGGCTGCTAGATGATGAGTGCCGGCACTGGGTACTGAGACGGCTGACTATGTTATCATGCTGCCATGTACCTAGAGAAGAAAATCAAAGGTTATGGGAACCATCCCTCAGACCAAGTCTACACGGTGCCTGCAGCAGGGCAGTACATGAGTCAACACAGAATCCAGCAGGGTGTGTATGACCTGAAACTCCTGAGTGTGCGGGCCACTCCTGACAGGGCGCTGTCATGTGCCAGGGCTGTTCCTCCCTAAGTAGTCACTGCATGTGACCTATGGACAGGCGGACACTGTGGGTGTCTGTCATCACTTACCTAGCGTCCATTTTGCATGTTAAGTACTTGGTTCTGGACTTTGCCTATGTCACGAGGCTGAGCCAAGCTGCTTCCTCACTCCTGACCTACAGCGTCTGTGTTTGCCGTGGGAAGGAAGGGACTGGCCAGGGAAGAGGAGCCTTGGGTGGGACAAATGTGGCCGTCAGAGCCCTTCCTCCACATGTCTGACCTCTTCCTCACCTGAGCACCTGGGGTTCCCAGATGCTATTTATCCCACGTACTTCTCCCAGCCCCTGGCTACCTCTGCACTCACAGTGGAAACTCATCCCTGCCACCTCGATGCCTCGTGCTCTGATGCAGCCCACAAACACCTGTGTTTGCTCACCACATCTGCCCCTAACTCACAGGTACCAGAGGCCCGATCTTCCCAGGTCATCTTACTTAGGGCCTTGGCTTTCTCATACGGCCAACACGGTGAGTGCGGCCCTCACAAGTTTGCTGTGAGGCCTGCATGAGTCCACGTGTAAGTACGTCAACAGTGTGCCTGCCTCAGAAATGTACCAGCATGGTTTGGGGGACCCTTCTGTGGTTCCTAGGTCCCCCTGGCTGTCGTCTAGCTGGCAAGTTAGCTCTCTGTTCCATTCTCTCTAGAAGAGCTAGTGTGTTCCTTATACAATGACAGGCAGCACCTAACTCTTTCCAAGCTTGGCATGTTTAGGAAAGGTACTTCATCTCATGGGCTGTTAGACAGGCTTCTGCAGGAACCATGGTTTATACACATTGCATGCCAGAGCTCAAAAGGGTGTGGCTCTAGCAGGGTATGGGGGATGGGGCTTTGTCAGTAATTGAGGTCAGTTAACTCAATAGTGTTGTCCTGAGACCAACTTACAAATGGCCGGTCAGCCTCAGATTCAGCAAGCTCAAGACATAAAGCCATTTAATGGCATGCATGCTAAGATGAAGCAGTTTTCAATTGCTTGTTCTTCATAAGTGTACTGGTGTGGAAATCTCTCCTGGGGCCATAGTGACAGACCACAGTGGGGACTCAGGAAAGGCGGGGGAAGGGCTTTCACACCAAAACTGCCCATGGGCTCTTTGCTCCTTGGAGCATGAGTCAAGGATGCTTCTGCCCCTCGGTAGGAGGCACTGAGTGGAGGGAAGAGTACCAGGGCAAAGAATGCCCAGTTAGGAACCCAGATCCAGTGAGTGGTTTGTTCAATTATATAATCTGGTAGATGTCATACCTATTCCTCAATGTTTATGGGGCAGGACTCCGGAGCTGCGGCTGTTCAGTAGGAGAGACCAAAAGCAAATGGTAAACATGAGAGAAGACACACAGGCACACACAAGTAAAACAGCAGGACCACATCACGGTCACCATGGTCACTGCTGCCAGCACCGATGACACTGGGCCCGAGGCTGTCCTGACCAAACTCACAGACGTCCTTAAGCAACATCTGCCACCCTAGGAGACCTCGTCAGTAGAGCAGGCTGGGGTGCAGATGGACCATGTGTAGTGAAGGGATATGGCGAGAGAATGACACATCCATCCTTCGCCTGGAAGGACCCACAGGGTCCACAGCATCCCGGCTTCTGCTGCCTACTCAGAGTACAGCCTGGATTCCACGGGGACGTCCCAGTGAGTGTGCCTCCTCATGTGGCTGAATCCAGGCCTTCTGGCAAGAAAGTGGAGCTTGGGAGACTTGAACTCCCTCCAGGGGGAGGGCAATTGTGCTTTTCCATCTAGCTTCCTTTCGGGGAGTCCTAAGTGAAAGGAAGATGAGACCTCCAGAGGCCAGCTGATTTAGGGACACTTGGCATAGCTCTCTCTGCTGTCACTACTAATATGTTGATTAAATTTAAGGGCCATTTTCCCTCAGAGCCTGCTACTGCGAATATTCCCAAAGCATCTTTTTAAAAGACAGGGTCTGGCAGAGGAGATGGCTCAGAGGTTAAGAGCACTCACTGACTGCTCTTTCCAAGGTCCTGAGTTCAATTCCCAGCAACCACATGGTAGCTCACAACCATCTATAATGAGGTCTGGTGCCCTCTTCTGGCCTGCAGGCACACATTCAGGCAGAACACTGTATATATAATTAAAATTAAAAGACAGGATCTCGCTGGCATGGAGCTTTAGATGATTGAAGACCAGGCCGGCCTCAAACTCATAGAAGATCTAGAAGATCTGCCTGTCTCTGCCTTCCTCGTGCCGGGATGAAAGGTGTGCATGACCACATCTTAATTTTAATTTTACATTATGAGGCTTGAAGAAAGAGGAGTAAATTGAACTGTATGCATGTATGTATGTAGATGGTTTTACTGCATAGGCCCACTTCTATGTTATTCAGTCATGTAAAACTTGCATTTTCACCAAAAACCATTATCCTTTCCCTTTTCCATCACTCATATCGCCCAGAGCCTTCTGAGAGTGTTCACTACCCCACATCACTCTCCTGCCACCCATGTTACATTCTTGGAAGCCACTGACTTCACACGGTCATGCAGCTGAGTTCCTATCACAGCCCCCTTTCCACCTTCAGGAGTCATGCGAGGGACCAGAGATCTACCCTCTGTGCTGGGGCCTTTGAAGGCCGGGAAGCTTCTTAGGGGAGAAGAGCAGGGGGGGGGCAGGCACCCTCTAAGGCCCTCAAAATCCTGGTGAGGGTGGTTTCCTGGCAGAAGTGACCCCCACACCCTCCATGAGGGGCGGCACCGGTTTGAAGAGGGAAACAGATTCAAGCAGGGCAGGGCCTGTGGGAAGACTCTTATGGGGAAAACACTCAAGAACAGTGAGGAGCAAGCTAGCCTGTGGCCTCGGGGGATGAGAGTGGGCACACGCACTTTCCTGGCTTTGACCCCGCACCTGGCACATTTGCTGTGCTGTCTGTGTGGTCTGGCAGAAGCAGCAGAGGGGATGTGTCTCTTCCCTGCAGGAGCCCGTGGACTACGGATACACTTCAGTGCTGTTTGCACAAGTGTCGCTCCTGAGTGCCGCAGGTGACTGATTCCATGTTTGGCCAAACCGAGAACCCCATTTAATCTCAAAATGGCTGGCTCTTGACTTTACCATAAGGAAGCCATGGCTGCTTGCTTCCTTTTTGGGCTCTTCTGTCCATACCGCACCTCTCCCCATAACTGAAGACACATTGACAAGCAGGTTGTTGGGAGGAAGGCTTGCAGAGGAGGAAGCAGAAAGAACAAGCTTCATCTCCATGGCACCATGGGCTCCAACAGTGACAGCAGCTCCCTCTACCAAAAGCAGGGCTCAGTGTAGAAGCCCTTGAGGAGAGGCTGGCCGGCAGAAAGCCACCAGAGACACCAGCAAAGTTAGACACAGGCACCACCATCCTCACCCTATGACCAACCAAGGATGCCTATCCCATAGTCCTTGCCATGGAAGCATGCCTGTCTTTGTCGAACAGAAATGAAGATTCCTTCCTCTAAAACTCTGTAGTGTATTGAGCATAGGCCCTTGCCAATTAGGAACTGGAAGCTTGTCTAGAGCCCTAAGCAAGAGCCCTTGGAGCGTATGCACCAGTAAGCTTGCTGTCGGGCTGAGCAGAGGCAGGACAGTGCTGGCACAGAGTGAACATGAACTCTCACACAAGTCAGAGAACATAAATGAGTTAAAAGATGAGCAAACCAGACAGACAGGCCTACACTGGATAAAGACACGGAACATAAATGGACGGATGGAAGCGAGCGAGCGAGGCCAAGAGTGGGAAGGCAGGGTGAGTGTGCCTGGTCTCCAGCAGCTCCAGGCCAGGCTTTACCGGGCAGGTGGCCATATGGATCACCGTCCTCCGCCTTGCTTGGGCGGGAAGGGAGTGTGCCTGGGGCCTGTGCTGGAGAAGCAGGTGATCTGACGCTGTCTCTCAGGTCTCACGGAAAACTGTGACCTGGGCAGACTCTTCAGGACAAACTAAACAGAATCACCGAAGTGCCCTTGGAAAAGCTGGAGAAAGTCTCTCCTGAGCAACTGGCTTCCCCTGCCACAGGCTCGCACGGGGCCAGGGCCTGCTGGGACCATGTCTGGCACAGGCTCAAGGACAGTGGCAGCCACAGAAGGCTCTGTGACTTAACAACTTCAGCTACCTCGCTGAGCGAGCAAAGCACTGGACCCAGGAGTGGCTGTTCTGTAGCTGAAGCAGGTTTCCCCTGGGTGATCCAGGGGTGGGGGTGGGGAGTGATCCGTGGGCGTGGGGAGGGGGGTTACAAAGGGCAGTGTGAAGGGAGGCTCTGTGCTGAACCAGGAGGGAGCATCTGGCCCAGGCCAGGCTCTTGGGAGTGGGTTGTGATGCTGCTGGGTGGCCACACTGAAGCTAGTGCTCAACTCTCTGAGTCTTTTTATTTTGGTTTTTAAGATGGTTTCTCTGTGTAGCCTTTGGTTGTATTGGAACTTGGTCTGTAGACCAGGCTGGCCTCAAACTCAGAGATCCACCCCCTGCTTCCTCCAAGTGCTGTGGTTAAAGGCATGTGCCACCACCACCTGGCTTTACTTTACTGCAGAGGGAGGGAACTAGGTCTTTCTATTTAGCTCCTCATCTGTAGCTTGCAGTGATCTGGCTGCCTCTGTTTCCGCAGTCTGGGATTACAGGCGTGTGCCAGTGTGACTGGCCTTGAAATCAAGAAAGGAGACAGGGGCATGCCGAGAAGCTGGGGCCTCAGAGAACCAAGTCTCCTGCCCTCTGGCTTCTCATTTGGGATTCAAGGCTTGCATGTGTGATCACTGGAGACATAAAGCTCCCTGGATCAGAAAGCCATTCATTGGCCTACAGGGTGCTTTTAGATTTCTTTGGGATCCTCAAATGTGTGTCCCTTGAAGAGCTAGGGTTTCAATTCTAAAAGAGCAGTTCTCCCTTCCAAGGTCTCCATGGGGAGGTGTCTGACTGCCGGGACTCCCTGAGGATGAACACAGGACAGTCCACCTGACATGGTGTGTCTAAGACTGCGCTGACCAAACAGTAAGGTGGAAGCAGGGGATTTTTTGCCTTTTTTTCTCATCAGGGTACTGCAGGAGCTGCTCTTTGTGTAAAGCCCAAGGCTTCCTGGGGCCTCCTTGCCTCCTCTTGGCAGGCGGTCTCCAGCACCTAAGCACACCCTGGCCTTCCTAGCTAGAGCTGCAGCACAGGAGGCAGGTGAACCGTGGGGGGGGGGGCGGAGCAGGGATGAGCAAAGAGATGTCTCCCGTCATTCATGTTCAGCAGACTGCCACTCACCGGGTAAGCAGACCTCAGCGCACAGCTTATTGTCCAGTGCTTTCACGCTTGCCATGTCAAGGTCATTGTTATTGTCACACTCCATGCCTAGAAATGCGCAAGTCCTCTGGCCTGTAACGGAGTTAATGCGGTTAGACAAGGGCTGGCTATGTTTTCTCTACTTTGCTGTCCTTAAAAGAAAAGTCTTAAGGATGGAGACAAAAAGAAAAAGGGAAAAAAAAAAAAAAAATAAAATCATGTGTCAAAAAAAAAAAAAAAAAAAAAAAAGACGACAAATCAGGTGAGTTAAGAGTGGACAAAAAAAAAACCGAGTTGTGTGGGCATGTCCGGGTTCTCACAGCACCCTGGCTTATGTCCTCAGGCTGTCCCTTTCTAGTTGATGTTCCCCTGTAAGTCTGATATCTGCAGGGTGCTGCCAGACAGGTCCCACAGACCACTGTGGAGGGCAGCTGCACCCTGGCCCGCCTGATGACAGCACTATGGCTCACAGAAGCTGGAGACAGCCACAAGAGAGTTCCCTGCACAGGCCTGTGGATCTCAGGCACCAGCGGAGTATGCTTAAGACCAAAGGGTCTACAGAATCATATGCATAAACAACTCACAGCCTTGGTCCCACGATTTTGCATGCTGCATCAGAATGACTGTTCACAAAATTATGTTATACTCTCTTGGGGGACTGAAGTTGTTACTTTGAGTATGTTTTCAGTAACTGTCCAGAAGACTGCAGTCATGTGGGAAGGTGAAGGAAACTTGATTTTTTTTTTTCTTTTGAGTTCCTGCTTTCTTTCTCAGAAAAAGGAGAGGAGGAAAGCCCTCTATGTACACTGTGAAGACCTGGGTGGCAATAACCTGGCCACCCTGGGCTTCTTAGAAGAAAGCTTGGGCTCTGAAGTGATCTTCAGAGGCAGTAAAGCTTCGAGCCCTGGGCAGATGTGCAGGAATGAGAGAGGCCAGCCTTGAGACCCCTATCTTTGAGCCTCTTGCCAGTGGGAGCTGCCAAGTCCACATGCAGCCCTGACATGCCTGAAGCAATGGCCCGCACTAAAGCAGAAGCAACTAGGAGGGCATCTGCTGGACAACTGCATCCAGGCCATGGCACACATGCTCAGAAGCAGAGGAAGGAGCCTGGCTTCCGGGATAGGTATGGTGACTTCTCTAACCACCTCCTCTTCCTCCTTCCTTGCCCTGCAGGGCAGGCCTTCTTCTCCAGCCTCACTGAAGACCAAACCAGAGGCTACAGTGCTGCCTAGGTGAGCCCAGCCGGGACGCCCATGCTTCCTTAGTCACACCCTCCTAGATGTTCACTACTAAAGCAAAACCAGAGCAGCTACAGGAGTCCTGCCTCTCCTGGGGAAAAGAAACTCTGCTCCACTTGGGGTGCCAGCTGGAGAGCTGCCACAGGCAGCAGGTATGGGCACAAAAGGTGCAGTGTCTTCTGCAGCATTCACCCCGATCCCGTGGATTCTGAGTTCAAGGAGGAGCTGAGGGTGTCACTAAGGTCACCGATATCCTGCTTACACGATGCCATCAAGATACCCAGCCCCAACAGTCACAAAGCTGAGCACTGCCAGCCACTAAGTCACGATAGTTCCCCTTTCTTCACCCCTTAGCAAATACCCAGGGAAGCAATGTGAGACAGCCAGGGTTTTACCGTCTTCTTGCACGGGTGATCCATCCTCTTCCTCTATGATGTCATTTCCCTAGGACAGAAGGAAAGCCCCATGAGTCTACCAAGAAGTCAGAGGAGCCAAGCAAAGACAAGCCATCCCTGTAGCAATTATTTCCATGGTCTACACCCTCACACATGCTTCCCACCGTGGCCAGGCAATGCTTAGACAGGTTGGTTGTCAGGAATACCCTTGTCATAGCTTACCTGACACTAAAGTAGAAATAAGGTTTCATAAAAAAGCAAATCAAAGCTGGATATGGGCACATGCCTGCAATCCCAGAACTTGGAAGACAGAGGCAGGGAGGTCACCTGTCAGTGTGCCCTGTAAGGCCAGCTGTATGGCCAGCTTGGTCTACCATAGCAAATTCTAGGCCAGCCTAAATTCTTTGTGGGTATACATAGTTAAGCCCTGTCTCAAACCAGCAAATGAGACAAAATATAAAAGCAAATCATGTGGTCATAAAGCTTTCAAAAACTCTTTGGGGCCAGTTACTACCTGCCTGAAAGGGCCCCTGTCAGCAATAGTGAGCCCTGGGCTGCTCGGGGACAAGTGCACAGCACACTCTGCACCGTCACCAATAGCTGTAATTCTGTCTGCCTCTGCACGGGGCTCCTGAATGGGGTATGGAGACAAGTGGCAAGAAGAAATTTCACTCGGGACAGGTGTCTGTGTATCCCGTGGGGAGCGTCTGAAACCCAGTGGCTCCAGTAAACAGACTAACTCCATGACAGCAGGCATATTCCTGAGGCCTGTCAGAGTCTGGCATGGGTAGGTTCCTCTTGAACTCACTCAGTCTCTGTGGATCATACTAGAACCAGAGTCTCCTGGTAACAGGACAGTGTCCCAGACCAGAGTTGGAGGCTTCTCTCACCTCTGCCCACACCCCCCTTCTAAATGACCCAGGCATGCTACCCGGGAAGGCCTCTCCAGAATTCCTCTGCCACAGCCATTCCCTGCCACCACCAACAGCTAGAGAAACTGGCTGTGGGAAAGGGTGCCACTGTCTGCCATCCAGGTTACCTCTGCATCCTGTTCTCCAGCTGCAAGGCCAGCAAAATTGCTGTCTGGGGACTCTGCTGGTGTCCCCTGTAAAAGAGCAACAAACCCCACGGGTACGATCATCATAGGCTCTCCAGTTAAGCTCTTAGGACAGCAAACCCCAGCCCAAGATTTCCTCAGCACAATGTCTGTGGTGTGCAGAAGCCAGGCCTAAGGGAGTGCCATGCTCCCCGCTGCACCCTGCCAGCGCCTGGATGTTTAGGAAGCTGCCTGGAACCCATGTGTGAAGCAGAGGGCGGGGCAGATGGAGGATTCTTCCCTTACCTCTCCAGAGGTAGCCCTGCTGGCAGCTAGGGGGGAGGGCAGGGCCTCTCCGTCTTCTTCTGTTCCAGGGGCAATGTAGGAGCCAGACATGGAGGACACTGTGTCAGTGCTGATCTGGGAGGGTGCCATGGACATGACTGACTGGGCCAGGCTGCTGCTAGCAGGGTCTGTGGAGACAGAAGTTAGGGGAGGGGGAGGGGACCATGATTACTAAGGAGCTGTGTACTAGGCCACAAAGAGAGGTGTACAAAAGCCACACATCACCCAGCCTATAATCCACAATCCCAGAGAAGCTAGAACCCTCTTCTCGAAACAGATGGAAGCAGATGCAGAAATCCACAACTGACCAATGGGCCAAGATCCTTGAATGCAATCGAAGTGAGGGAGGAGCAAAAATATGAACAAAGGAGTCAGGACCGTGATGGGGAAACCCATAGCATCAGCTGACCCAGCTATGAGAGATTCCTGACTCAGGTCTGACAGATGGGGAACCTGCACAAGACTGAACCAGACTCCCTTAATACAGGTGACAATGGTTCAGCTGGGACAGTATATGAGGTCACTGGCAGTGGGTCCAAGACCTAACACCAATGCACACACTGAACAGTGGAGCCCATTGTATATGGAGAGACACTTGCTCAGCCTAGACACAGGGGTGTGGGGTGGGGAGGAGCCTTCGTCCTGCATCAACGAGATGATGGACAGACTTAGTAGACTTCCTAGGAGAGGCCTCACCCTCTCTGAGGGGCGGATGAGGAGGGGTGGGGGCACTGGGATTGGAATGTAAGAAATAAACTAATAAAAAAAATTTATGGAAAAAAACATATATTGCCCTCCCCAGAAAAAGGTTCAGAGTGAAGGCCTTCCAAGACTGCTCTGAGACCCGAGGGCCAAGGCTGTGCCCCAGCTGTCGTGTGGGGAGAAACTCATCATGCAGGAAGGTGAGCAAGAGTCCCCCGGCCCAGTCACCAGCTCCACCGGTCCCATCTCCAAAGGAAGTCACAGCGGGGCTGTGGACCCGGTGAGGGAGGCGAGGGCAGCCTCCCCCTCATCCTGACCCCTCAGGTACCTTCTGGGGAGGAGATGGTAGAAGACAGGGGAGTCCCTGTGCAAGATGACTGGTCAGCAGCCCCTGACGACGACAGGGTAAGGTTCTCACTCTCTGGAGTCACATCACATCCCTGGGGGTGAAGGACACATGGGGCATGAAAACCAGGCTTAGCATACGGGCAGAAGGGCAAGAGCAGAGCTGGGACACAGAGGAACCAGACACCAGGAAGGACAAGGTCCTCTCTTGTGGGCATGAGTGACCGGAGAGGCGGTGCTGGCTTCTGTCAGCGATCTTCTCCAGCCAGGGCCTAGAGTGACTCTGTCCCAGGGGAGCATACACTTCAGTCAGCGCCTCCTGCCTGAGGCTCAGCATCTGGTGGGGCATACAAAGGCTGCAGCTCCAGTGACACGGTCACCCAGCAGCTGTCACGGGGCGGGGGAGGGAGGGGTTTCGGGGTGGGCATATCCCAGGGTTATGAACAGCTTATCCTTAGAAGGAAAAGAACTGCCTACAGGACCCCTCCATAGGTTTGTCCACCTCTGCTTTCCAGCCAGCAGGCCTCTAGAACAGCCCTACCATCCGAGAAGATGAAGAAGAACAAGGGTGGCCCTCTAGGTGCCAGGCAGGCTGCTTTCATCTTAGGCCAGGCCTAAGGGCTCTGCTGGCCCCTCCCACATGTAACCATCCGGGAGAGGGGCCTTTGCAACACAGAGCTCTCACTACCCCTCGGCCTGCTCCAAGCTCCCTCTGAATGTTTCTCTCCCTCATGTCTAAAAACTTTCATGATTCAGCAAAGTGCTGCCCCTCCATAACGGTTTTTCTGATGTTGTCCACCAAAGGGAACTGAACATTACTCTGCATGATACGTTATGGTTTCTTCTGAGTTCTCAATAGCAGGCTGGCACTGAACTTGGTGTGTCCCAGGGTGGCCTCAAACTTGTGACCCCTTACTTTAGCCTCCAGTGCTGGGATTGCAGGCAGCCTGTAATCCTACCAAGCACTTGGGAGGTGAGGCAGGAAGATCAGGAATTCAAGGTCATCTTCAGCTATATAGTAAATTCATGGCAAGCCTGAACTACGTAAGACCCTGTCTCAACCACCCTGCATGTATGCATTCATGAAGTACTTATGGGCAGCAACAATGAACCGCACACGGGGCTGGCGGAGTACAAACGCTATCCCAACTGGACACAAACTCCCGAGGACGGACACTTCCCATCTCTGAATGCCTTTGGGACCCAGCCTGTTGCCCTGGACAGTTCGTGGCTAATAAGGTCCTGTAAGTTCGAGATAAGGGCTCTGTGAGGGATGTACCAGGTGGGAAGTCTCAGTCATTATTGCCGCCCCATCCCGGCCCTGCACACCCCAGACATTTCCCCGGCCGTCTTGTATCAGGCCCTCTTAGATGTCCACACGGCTCTCTCACTTTGTGGGTCTGTGGGTCCCTGCTCCTGGGCCAGTGCTGAAAGGGCCGCCCAGCCCTAAATTCAGGGTTCCCTTTCCTGTTGACACGCTGACCCACACAGCCATCTAGCCCACCATCACCCCACTTCTAAGCACATCAGTGCCACAAGGGCAGAACATTTTATAGTTTCCTCGCTGCTATTGTTTCAATCTGTAAGATAGCGCCAGGGGCAAACGGGCTGCAGAACTCACGAATCTCAGGGAACTTCTGCAACTACCACCTTGTAATGTGCTGGAAGGTCTACTGAAAGGGTAAAAGCAGGGGTACCAAGAAGCCATGCAGGCAGATGCCTGGTGCCAGTACCCAGGGAGGGAGAGGAAGGCCAGTTACCTCCTCAGGATGATGGGAAGACAGTCTCTGAGAGAGCTGGGTCTCAGACTCACTGCATGAGCGCTCATCTTCCTCTTCGTGTAGCACAGAAGAATTCTGGGAAACGGATCTGTAAAAGCCCAGAGTAAAAGCAGCTGAATGCACTGTCCACTCAGGACATCAGTGTTGGCCTGGCTGGACTCTCCTTGCTCGGGCCGCACAGGGGAGGCCTGGAGAAGCCAGGTCAGTTCTCAGGAGTGGGTGGGTAAGAAGTGTACCAGAGAGGGGCAGAGGCTCCTCTCCTCTAGCAACTCAACCCTGAGAAACAAAACAAAACAAAATACACTAGCAATCTCCCTCCCCCATCTCAACACCTCGATGTGTGAGACAGCCTCCTTTGCCACAGAAACTGTGTTATGCTTGTGTCCTATGGATTTAAATGTTCAGGATGTAGGACCATTTGGTTCCTCTGACTTCAGATTAAGCCAGGACCCCAAGGGATTCTGTCTATACAGCTCAGTATCCTCTTCCCTGTACATCACTTTCCTGACCACCCCTGTTACAGAACACACAATCCCAAGTACGCACACACACTTTGTTTCTATCTGGGCACTCAAGCGTGCCTCTCAGACCTTCTGTGAGTGAGCAGAGTGGGCAACGGGAGCTCTGCACAGGATTTGACTTTCTCAGTGCTGATGAGGGAGAATGGTTTTGAAAGCTTTCAACAACAACCCAGGGGAACCCCGCTGGGCATCCACTGCTTACTTGGATATGCTCTTTTTGAGTTTGAGTCCTTGGTTGCTGCAGTCAGACAGGCGGTCAAGGGGGGACAGCGTCCTGATGGGGGGCAGGTGGCCATCGCTGCCATATGATGGTAGCATTCCCGAGAGGTGGCCATCTCCAAGGACATGAAGTGCAGGGGCAGCTGGGGATGGGGGGAGGGGCCCATTGAGGGCCTCCAGGAGAGACACCACTTCGTAGCCTGGTGGAATGTTCTCTGAGGACTACAAGAATAGAGACAGGCCAAACATTAGGTACTATTTTTATTTGGTCGTGATCATGTCCCCTACTGGACATTAAAAGAAGAGTCTTGTTCTTAGGTGTCAGCTCTGGTAAGGAAGGTAAAGGGAAAAGCCTCAGGTCCTAAATGACTCTTCACAAAGTCTATTTTTTCTGATGATAACAGAAATAAATGCTCACTATAGGAAATTTGTAAAATACATCAAAGATGAAAAAAACTACCAATAATCAATCACCCAAAGTAACTTTTGGTGGCAATCTATGACATTTTTCTAACTATTTTATTCTACTGCTTATGATTAATCTATAAATGGCAATTCTGGGGCTGGAGAGATGGCTCAGAAGTAAAGCTCACGATCACCAGTAACTCCAGCTCTAGGGCCTAATGCTACCCCTGGCCTCCAGGGGCTCTCACAGTCACATGTGCAAATTCACACACAGACAGACTCGCATACATAAGTAAAATAAAAAACAACTGTATCCGCCTGTTTAATTAAACATGAATATCCCCCCTTTTTTCTTTTTTGAAACAGGGTTTCTGTGTGTAGCCCTGCCTGTCCTGGAACTTGCTCTGTAGACCATGCTGGTCTCAAACTCAGAGGTCACCTGCCTCTGCTGCGATTAAAGGTGTGCACCACCATGGCCCAGTTTTGTTTTGTTTTTTTTTTGTTTTTTTTTCTTCATGAAGCCCAGTGTAACTCCAAACTCACTATGTCCTTTTATTTATGATTATATATTATTTATGATTCATTAAAGCTTGCCTGAAGATCAGAGAAGCAAAGCAGCCAAGCCAGTGGATCTTAACCTCTACCAAGCTGAAATGGCAATCCCATCTCCACAAATCCTCAGAGGCAAAAGCACTGAGTTCCTGCCTCCTCCTCCTCCTTAAAATCCTTTCTCTGCCCAGCCATATCCTGCTGTCTCCACCTCCCTAGTGCTGGGATTAAGGGTTGTGATCCCAGGTGCTGGGATCAAAGTAATTAGCTCTGTTACTCTTCACTCTTATATAGGTCAGAGTGGTCTTAAACCTAACTCCTGAGTCCTGGGATTAAAGGTGTGTGCCACCACTGCCTGGCTAGATAGTATGGCTGCTGGAATTAAAGATGTGTATCACCACTGCCTGACCTTTATAGCTTGTGGCTGGCTTTGCTTTCTGAATCCTTAGGCAGGCAAGCTTTAATAAATCATAAATAATACATCACCACATACCTCCATGTCCCAAGTGCTGGGATTACAGGCACACATCAGGACTCCCAGCTTTACCTACAGCTAGAAACTTTCGATTCATCCCCTGTATAGACACTGTAAGCTTCCTGACTGCCAGTGTGGTGGGCAGCTGTGTTTAACATGTCCAGTGAACATCCTTGTACACAAATCTCAGTGGTAAGATTCTTGCCTACCACATGTGGGGCCTTGGGTTCCATCCTCGGAGCCACCAGTATAACAAACCCTTCTCTCCCAGGTCACTTCCTCCGTATTTAGATTACTGTGTATGAATGTCGTTTACTTTTCTGAAGAGCTTAACTAATTTTTTTTCTGTATGTGTAGTGTGTGCATATACGTGTGTGGATGTGGGCCCTGAGTCCACATGCAGAGGCTGGAGGAGGATGCCAGATGTGTTCCATCCTGAAGCTCACCATTTTGGATAGGTTGTCTGGCTAGTGGCCCCTCAGGTCCCACCTGCATCTGCCTGTGCACAGAAACCATGCGAGGTTTTCTGTGGGTGCTGGAGACTTGCATTTCAGTCCTCTTGCTTTTCATAGTAAGCTACTGAGCCACTTCTTGGCCCTATAAATGTTTCTCAGGCTCTTTATATGGATAGCTGTTCTGTTTTCTCAAGGGCTTATCCAGTCACCCTCCTAACAAGCAATATGAAATGTTCAATTTGCTTTTAGGTGTTTTTTTTTTGGGGGGGGAAGAGGATCGGGGAGCCCCTGGAATGGAGAATCTTTAACTTCATTTTTTTTTTAAATTTGGAAGATGAAAAATGGTATCTTGTTTTAATTTGTGTGATGCTGATTTTTAAGGTAGCCGGACCCTTTTGTTCTTTCGTGGCACTGAGGGCTGAAGTCAGACTTCATGTGGCACTGATGCCAGGAGCTGTGTCCTCAACCCTTGCTCACCTCACTAGGTAGCCCCGTGGGCCCTAGCTGAGCATCCGAAAAGGGGTCAATCGTTAACGGGCTCTGCTTCCTCTCGTGAGAACTTTGTGCTTTACTTAGGAACCTACTCTACTGCCTTCAGTTACCTACTGCTTTATCCTTATGGTCCACAGCAAAGACATCACTCTTCTTCTGATATGTGTGTTGTTAACGTTTCTTTCTCTTTAAAATTCTGTTTGCTTTTAAATTTTGGCTGACTTTTAGAGTCTGACGTTTTCAGCGTTTGTTTAAATAAAAACACTGTTGATGGATGAGCACCTGTCCACCACATAGGCGTAGTGCCCACAGAGGCCAGAAGAGGGCACTGAATCCCTGGGTCTGGAGTGACAGACAGCTGTGAGCTGCCCTGAGGTTATGGGAACCAAACCCAGGTCCTCTGTGACAACAGCAAGGGCCTTTTGTTGTTGTTGTTTTGTTTGGTCGGATTTTTGAGACAGGCTCCCCTATGTAGCCTTGGCTGTCTTGGAATTTGCTCTGCTGGCCTTGCACTTGAGCTCTGGCTGCCTCTGCCTCCTCAGTGCTAGGGTTGAAGGTGCTGCCAGAAGAGCTCACTGCTGAGCTGAGCTATCTCACAGTATTTCTTCTTCTGTGTGCCGGCCTAAAGCCATGCACGCATGTGCCTGCTGATTTGGTTTTAAGAGAAAACCAATTCTTCCATCTAGAATCTATTTCATGAGGATTAAACTGATAAGATGGGGCTACAGAAATGACTCAGTAAGTAAAGGTGATTGCCACTAAGCCTGACGACTTGAGTTTGGTCTCCAAGACCCACAGGATAGGAGGAGAGAATCAACGCCCACAAGTTCTCCCCACCACACACTTCCTTCTCCTCTTCTCCCTTCACATACACATTAAATAGATACATAAATAATTTAAAATGCTACAATGACTTCCTCCCTTATAATTAACTAACCCATCTCCTCTACACTGTTAACTCAATGATAAATTTCTCCCACCGCTGGGTTAGTCAAGGCAAGACAAAACTTGTAATTGTTTCTTGGGGGTTGGAGGTTTGGGTAGTGCTGGTGACCTGTGTATGCTGAGCTCGCCCTCTGTCCCTGAGCCACACTCCCATCCATTCCCGACTGTTTTACACATGCACAGCTTCTCAGTGAACTCTGGTAGTCTCCTTACACTACAGTGATACTAAGGTCAATTATCTGCTTGGCTTCCAAGCTCTGATGCTCCCCAAAAAGCATGAAGAATGGCAGCAGCTGTCTTCAAGGACTCAAGGAAAGACAGGAAAATTGATTCAGATCCAAGGCAGTCCCTCCAGTTTCTGCTTGGGGAGTTCCAGAGTTGGATCCCACCAATGTGAACCTCCTCAGACGACTCTAGGAAGATGATCGTCAACTGGACTCAAGTCCCAGAGAAGGAAAAGGAGATTTCAGAGACCAGAATGTAACTTTCAGGTGCAGTATTAGTAAGTGGTTTAAAATTAGCCAGGTGGTGCTGGTGCACACCTTTAATCCCAGCCCTCGAGGGGGAAGCAGAGGCAGTGGATCTCTGTGAGTTGGAGATCAGCATGGTCTACAATGATACACAGAGGAAACCCTGTCTCAAAAAACAATAACCAAAAAAAAATTATTTAGTTTTGGGCTGGGCAGTGGTGGTGCACACCTTTTTTAATTCCAGCACCTGGTCTACAGAGAGAGTTCCAGGACAGCCAGAGCTACCCAGAGAAACCCTGTCTCAAAAAAAAAAAAAAAAAAAAAAAAAAGTCCAAGTTTTATTTATTCTTATTTCTTCCATATGCGTGTTTGTCTTCATGCATGTCTGTGCACCATGTGTATCTCTGGTGTCTTTGGAGATCAGAAAAGGGTGTCAGATCCCCCGGGACTGGAGTTACAGTCAGGAGCTGTCATGTGGTGCTGGGAATTGAATCCAGGTCTTCTGCAAGAGCAGCCAGGGCTCTTAACTGCAGTCATTCATTTCTCCATCCCCACTATTAGTATGTTTTACTACAACATGATCCCAGCCAGTTTAAAAAAAAAAATTCTTCAGCATGCTCTGGTTTAATTTTTTGATGTAATGCCAGAACAAAACCGGGTGTGTTAGCTCTCACTTGCAACCCTCGCACTTTGGAGCAAGAAGCAGGAAGATCACTAGGAGTCTGAGACCGTCTGGTCTATATAGCAAGTTCCAAGTCAGCCACCGTCACAAACCCTGTCTCAAAAACAAAACCCACAGAAAAATATCGAGGACACAAGAGAGTGTATCTGTTTCCAAGAGGTCATGCCACCAGGCCCAGCTTACAGAATGCTCTTCCGAGTCTGACGTCTGGGACGAGATGATGGGGTTAAAGCTGGTTGGAGACAAAGGGCCCAGTTTCTTCCTCATGGCTCGGATCTGAAGCAGTGCCCGGAAAGCTGTGAAGAAGAAAGCAGGCCATCAGGACATCCTGTTTCAGGATTAAGGACGAGCAGGGGCCCAGGCAGAACCCATGCTCCCTTCAGTACCCATCCATCTGCTGCGCCCAGCAACAGCGCTCTGATGTTCTGTGCCCACCGTCATGCCCCTCTGGGACTCACGCAGCCGGCAGATGGGACAGTTGTTGGCCTGGTAGCGCAGGGTGTCTGCACAGGTGTTACAGAGGCACAGGTGGCGGCAGGGCAGGATCAGGGTGTCTCGGACATCTGAGAGACACACCACACACTCGGCACTGTTATCACTCACGTCATCCTCAGCCACCTGGCCAGAGAGAGACTCGGCTAATGACACAAAGCCTTCCACGCCCCACAATTTATTGACAAGGAAGCTTGGCTGAACAGGATCTACACTGACACTGATTAGTTTTATGTGCTTTGCCTTTTCATGCCCTGCAGTTGGAGTTAGTCATGAACTGCCACAAGGGTGCTGGGATTTGCAAGAGGAGCCAGTGCCCTGAACTGCTGAGTCATCTCTCCAGTGGGGTGCAGAGCTTTTGACACTTGGCCCCTTGCCTCTAGGAACTGCCTGCCTGGAGTTGGGACACTGGACTAACCCTAACCCTGAGCTCATGCTTCCTCTGCAGGTCTGAGCAGAAGGGACCTAGGAGAACACAGAGAGCAAGAGGGAGGGGAAATGTCCTCCCCCCTCCCAGGAAGCCGAGCTCAACTGAGCTCCAGAGCAGAAGGCAGATCCAAAGTGGCATCAACTGATAATCTACAATGAGGACCTTCTCGGACCCGGCTGGCACTAGACCCTCAGCCCTAGCTGGAGCACAGATCCTCACTTTGCCTGAGGGAAGAACACATCCTGAATTTTACCAAAACTCACCTTAGAATCCTGTGTGTTATACTTGTTTTCGATCCCGTAGATCTCCTGAAGAAGGTAGCTGACCCCGTCTACCTGAGTAGCAAACAGTGAAGTCCAAGAGCAGGCTTACTCCTGAGAGACACGAGCAGAAGCCCTGCCTCTCCCCATGGTAACCAGGACTACTGAGCCTCCATGAAAAAACTCAAGGGCCCACATGGACAAAGGATGTTATTTACTTATGTTTGTAGTTAAGAGAGGAAGAAAATCAAATGTTTAGTTTACTCACTATTATATCCAACAAGGAACATAAAATATTACAAGCTGACAGTATTTGTATTGCAGCTCACTACCGCGGACACAAACAGCACGGACTCATTGTGTAAGAAGATTTCAGCTTAAGTACTGTAGAGATATTGACGGGCTGAAGTGTGGCTCAGTTGTAGAGTTTTGCCTAGAGTGCATGAAGCTCTGGCAACACATAAACTGGGTGTGGTAGTGCATGCCTATAATTTCGGCAGTGCAGAGAGAGAGGCCAGAGAAGCAGAAGCTCGGTGTCACCCTTAGCTCCACACTTAGTTTCAGGACAGTCTGGGGTACATGCAATTGAACAAAAAGGAAGAGAAAATAATGGGCAAAGAACAAGAGGAAGAGGGGAAAGGAGCAGATGTGAGACAGATGTGGTCCAGCACTGTGGTCCCAGCACTGAGGAAGCTAAGGCAGAAGGACAGTTACGAATCTCAGGCCAGCCTAGACTATACAGAAAGTACCAGGTCAGCTGGGGCTGCATAGCCAGGCTCTCCCTCAAGAAGGAAAGACAAAGGCAGGGAGATGCAGGGCCCGGACGGTCTGGGAAGAGGCAGCAACAGTGCACACCCACGGAGCCACGGCCATATCTTTGTTTTCTGTTTTATAATAAAAGATTTCTCTACTTTTATGTGTTTGTGCATGAACTGGAGTGTACACATGTGCAGGCGCTCGTGGGGTCCCAAAGGCGTCAGATTCCCCGGAGCTGCAGTTGCAGGCAGTTGTGAGTTACCTGACGTGCATGCGGGAACTGAAACAGGGCCCTCAGGGAGAGCGGCCAGTGCTCTTCACAGCTGAGCCACGGCTCTGCCCTGTCCCTCCCATTTCTGTCTAAATTTTTATATTATTATTTCATGTGTGTGAGTATGGGTACAGGCAAGTCACAGAGAATGCATGTGGAGGTTCAGCGGGCAGCTTTCAGGAATCTTGTCTCCCCATTCCACCGTAGACTCAGAGATCAAACTCACATCACCAGGCTTCTATGGCAAGAACCTTTACCTGCTGAGCCATCTCAAAACCTTAATTACCTGCCAGGCCGTGGTGGCGCACGCCTTTAATCCCAGCACTCAGGAGGCAGAGGCAGGTGGATCTCCTTGAGTTGGAGGCCAGCCTGGTCTACAGAGAGAGCTCCAAGACAGGCTCCAAAGTCACAGAGAAACCTGATCTCAGAAAAAACAAAACAAAAACAAAAAACAAAACAAAACAAAACAAAAAAAATCCCACTCCTCCCTTCTGCTCCCACAGACCTAGCCTGGGCTCTAATCTCTTACCAAATTCTCTCTGTTGACAGTCTGTTGCTAATACAAATCCAGAAACGGGAACATATATAAAACATTTTTCTGTAGAGGCTGTAGCTTTTTAAACAGCCAGGCCTTTGCCATGAGGCAACTCATCAAGGCTGGGCTGGCCTACACAGGTAGTGTCACGCACTCAGGGTTTCTGGCTTGTTCTGCCTCTCTTAAAACTTGTTTTAACATAGCAATTATATTGAAAGGACACAAATCAACTAATTTACACTAAGGAATTATTATCAATTCCATTAAGAGGGACAATACTTAAACGAATGAGTACTTTAGGATTTTATACATCTATCATCCTTCCGTAAAGGGGCCTTCCTTTGTACATCAACAAAGGCCAGCCCTGTCTCCTACTCCTCTCCTGCTACCCTCTACCACACGGTTCTTCACTTATCTTTTGAGGGTCTGTCTCTCTGTAGTCTTGGCTATTCTGGAGCTCTCTATGTAGACTAAGCTGGCCTCAAAAATCACAGAAATCCTCCTGCCTCTGCCTCCCAAGTGCTGGGATTAATGATATGGGCCAGCACACCCAGCCTGATCACCTATTTTTTTTTTTTTCAAACCATCCTTTGACTTCTTTTGAGACAGGGTCTTATATAGCTCAGGCTGGCCTAGAACTTACTGTAGCTGAGGCTGGCCTAGAACTCCAGGCAACCCTGTAGCCTCTCCCTCCCTAATGCTGAAATTACAGGCATCAGCTACTGCACGGCATCTCGTGCTGTCTTTGCCATTGCCACCGGCTGCCCTTGTCCCCTTTTGCAAAAGTACAAAATGTTGGCACAAGGTGGGAGCTAGGCCTCCAACAGACGCATGCAAACCCTGGTGACCATTCCTGAAGAGGGCAGATGTCCAGGAAGCTGCATTTTACAAAAGGAATGCTAAGATAAATTATGCCGAGGGCTCTAATTAGCTCTGAATTAGAGCCAATGCTTTATCCTTTTGTTTGAAATGTCTCTCATCATGGCATTTTAAGTAAAAAGAATTCTCCTTCACCCTGATGTCAGGAGACAAATCTTATTCTTTCACTTCTCAAGATAACTGTGCCCTGGGAGGTACCAACCATTCCAAAACAATAAAGGCAGTAAAAGTCGGTGATCCTTTCAGGCCACCCAAGTCGTTCCTGACAAGTTTAAAAACATGTATGAAAAAAGGAAAAGGAGAGGGTAAATGCTAAGAGATTCTGGCCTTCAGATACTTACCACTTGCTTCTGCTTGAGGGGCTTAACACAGAAGGTCCCGTCTGTGTGCTGCAATAAAAGCGTGATGTCACTCACAAGCAGCAGGGCAGGCAGACAGCATGTGCATTCTGTGGTCCCTTTCTTACGCCATGCGCTTGGGTGTGGGGTTTGACGACATTTGGCCCCCATAATCTCATAGGGAGTGGACTATCAGGAGGTGTGGCTTTGTCGGAAGAAGCATCACTGTGGGTGTGGGCTTTTAGGTTTCCTTTGCTCAAGAATTCACCCAGTGTCTCAGTCGACTTCCTGCTGCCCACAAGATGTAGGACCCTCAGCTCCCCCTGCAGCACCACGGCTGCCCGCATGCTGTCATGCTCCTCAAACGTCAGGATGATAATGGACGGAACCTCTGAACTAGGGGGTCACCACAATGAAATGTTTTCCTTCTAAGGGTTGCCGTGGTCATGGTGTCTCTTCACAGCAATAAAAACCCAACTAAGACACCGGGCACTCCCAGAGAGGAACTACAGACTTGGAACATGGCAAGCGTGGAGCAGGGGTCAGCTACAGCCACTCATTTGATGAAAAGGATGCTGGTGATCACGGGGGGGCGGGGGGGTGTCTCTGCTCAACCTTCCCAAGCACCACCCCAATGTGACACTCTCTCAGCAGAGGGGCCTCAGGACACCATGAAGTCCCTTACCTTCTCAAAAGTGCCCAGAAGCACGTGGCAGTGGCCAAAATACTCTGAAAGAAGGAGGCACATGTTTGAAGGCCCGGCATCGCACCGCTCACCCTCTCCCACATTCTTGTCTCTCCAGAGCCCACACTTTAGCAGACCCATGGTGCTGGCTGCCACCGGCAAGGGCATGCTATAAATCCCATTATAAACCCCATCCCTCACAGCAGGATAGGGAAGGAAAGGAAAGGACATGGATGGGTCTGACCGAGCCCACAGAGGTGTGTGGCTGTGGCCACAGCTTCTGCTGGGGGGACACCACAGGAGGGGAGTGGGCGCAGCAGAGAAGACCGAAGCTCTCCTACCGTCTCCTTCATCCACCACGGCATGCACCACCAGAGGGTAAACCTCCCGGTCCAGGTCCAAGCTAAGCTGCAGGGAAGACAAGGCAAACTCAGGAGGCGCCACATTTGGGTGCCCGTTGCTCCTCAGGAGGGGGCATTTCTGCTCAGATGCGCTCAGTGCCCTCATCTCTGCACCCCACCCATCAAACCTGCAGCTGCCCAGGTCTGTTTAACGGGCAGCCATCTATTTCCTTAGAAAACAAAACAAAAGCCTCATGGAATTAAAGGCCGGTAACCTTTTTGTGGCTCCTTTTTCTTGAAGCATGGCTTTCTCACAATATCCTCAGCTAACACGCTGATTTGGGCTAGAAAAATGAACAAGGGTAGGTATATCTTTTTTAAAGATTTGTTTGTATGTACACAGTGCTTGCATGTGTGGTACCAGATCTCATTGTATGTGGTTGCGAGCCAACACATGAGTGCTGGGAATTGAACTCGGGGCCTCTGGAAGAGCAGCCAGTGCCCTTAACCTCTGAGCTATCTCTTTAGCCCAGGACAGGTATATCTTAATGTGAACTAAGCAGACCTTTGAAGGGCATGAAGGGGCCCCCAGGCTTAACAGTAGAGCACAGCATCTCAGCCTCTGGACGGAGCCCCTGCTGCTGCTCCCAGGACGGGGTGCTGAGCTGAGGCAGCTCACCTCCTCTTCTGCCCACTCTGCGGGGTCCACAGTATGGGAGGGCAGGCAGAACTGCTGGCACACCCCTCGCTTGTAATGCACGGTCTCCGACTGCAGGCTGCTGTCTTTTGGAATGTAGCTGTGGGCCAGTGTGTAGCAGAGCTAAAGTTAGAATTCAGCCAGACAGTCTGACAGTTCTCACTGTCTCACGCCTGTTCTCAATTTCCAACAGCACTAACTCAGGAAAGAAAGACCTCTTTCATTTTGCTCTAGCCTGGTACTGTTACCAAGCTTAAATATTTAATCATACATCACAGGAAGGGGGCTAAAATAGAGAGTAAGATTGCAAAAGAAAATTAAATTCAAGGTCCAGATCCTTCCCAATTGTGGAGAAAGAATGTTTTTCTTGCTGTGTAGGCACAAAGGCTAGAGAGCAAGTAGCTTACGTGCTGTGCTAGCTTACCTGGCAATACCATTTTGGAATTCCTCAGTGGCCTGATAGTAGATGGTGATGGCTACCCGGGCATCTGTGTCAAAGATGAACTCGACATTGTAGTGAACCTTAGCTTTGCCTGCCTCTTCTCCATGACCCTTCACTTCCTCGGCACACCTGAGAAGTCACAATCCCCCACAATCACAATCTCCCCAATCACAATCCCCCACAATCACAATCCCCCCAATCACAATCCCCCACAATCACAATCACCACAATCACAATTCCCCCAATCACAATCCCCCTTTGAGGTCAGTGGATCAGGATTTTTTGTCGTTGTTATTTTGCTTTTGGTTTTTATTTTTTGAGAAAGGATTTCTCTGTATATGGGACTCGCTCTGTAGACCAGGCTGGCCTGAGAAATGGCCTGCCTCTGCCTCTGAGTGCTGGCATTAAAGGTGTGTGTCACCACTGCCCAACAGGTATCAGAATTTTATGACTTACTCTTTGGGCTGGAGAGATGGCTTAGTGGTTAAGAGCACTGGATGCCCTTCTAGAGGGTCCAGGTTCAATTCTTATCACCCACATAGCAGCTCACAACTAACTGTATCTCCAGTTCCAGATCACCCTTACACAGACATATATTCAGGCAAAACACCAAAATAAGGAAGAATATGCTGGGCAGTAGTGGCACACGCCTTTAATCCCGGCACTTGGAAGGTGGATGTAGGCCAATCCCAGTGAGGTGGAGGACAGCCAGGTCTACAGAGTGAGTTCAAGAACAGCCAGTGCTGTTACACAGAGAAAACCTGTCTCGAAAAACAAAACAAACAAACATAAGAGGCAGAGGATTTCTGAGTTCAAGGTCAGCTTGTTCTACTACAGAGTGACTTCCAGGACAGCCAGGGTTATACATAGAAACCCTGTCTCGAAAAACAAAATAAACTACCCTTACTTTTCTTTAACTCCCCAAAACAAAATTACATACTTGGCTGTATGCCGTTAACATATGTTTGTGTCTTTACTGTAACTATCACAGTATTCTCTGTTTGGGACATTTAGATTATTTATTAATTCTTGTAGCCTATGGTGGATAAATGGCCTTTGAGAGTGCTTGTGCCAGAACTTTGTTACTTTTTACTTTAATCAAGGTTATGAATCATGCCCGAGTTCCCACAAGACTTGTAGGAAATCAGCAGGCCGTCCTGCTGCCCTCTCTTCTACACTGCAGTTCTGGACCTCACGGCACTGACCTCATTCCTAAATAGCATGCCCAGTCATGGAGTCTTGATTTGTCAGTCTTAGGCACCATCTCCTGACTTTCTATTATGGACATGGTTTGTCTCCTTCCTCACGCTCACCCATGGAAGAGCTCTGCCACCCACACTGTAGGGAAATCACAGTCCACGTTGCTGTGACTTCATAAGCACGATTTACAGCCTGACACAGAGTAAGCTATGATAGGCTTTCTTTTCCTGCCTAATTCCCCAAAGGTTTTCCACAGACTCATCCTGGATTTCGACCCAAACTCCCTGATAGCTGTCTGCACTCCTACATACATCCAGATGCATGGTTGGTCCACTTAGTTTGTCACCGCCAACCCCCATAGTGCCCCGCAGTAAAGCCGGGGCTGGCCGGCTTATTGTTCTCCTGCCCCCACCTCCCGTCTGCTGAGACTGAGTGTGCATCAGCACAGCCAACTTAAAACAGCATTTTATACACCCAATGAAACATCTCATTACTACATAGCTTGTTAGGGTATCTGCAAACTTCACCTTTCCCTTTAATGACAGTTCTTTTTCCCCTTTGTTTGAGACCCAAGAAACAGAGATAATATTTAAAATTCAGGTGCAGGTGAAAGTTCTTTCTGTACAGAACAGTGGCCACATTTCAAATAGCACAAGCCCCAGCAGTGCCTGGCAGCGGCATTCTTTAGACCCAGGCAGGAGGCTGTGGGCCTGGCAGAAGCTTCTCTTTGACTCCCACAGAGTATCTGTTGCCCTGCAAGCAGAAGGGCATCTGGGACCTGGCCTGGACCCTCGGGAACTTACTTGACGAGTCTCAGCGTGTCCTTCCGGATGTTGATCAGGCTTCTCAGTGTCTTCACAGGTTCGTGGGGAGGTGGGGCAGCGTAAGGAAACTGTCAGAAGTAAGGTGGGAGAAGCAGACCGCTATAAAGACTGCAGCTAGCCCCAGCTGGAACAGGGCTCTCGGGTAAGTGGAAAACAGCCCCGTGAAGAGAGGCAAGGAGGGGCCCAACGCCTATGTGAGGGGGCAATCTCTAAACAGTGAGCTTGTTCGAGGTCATTGTTAGTGGGGAAGCCACGATTCAATATGGTGTCCAAAAAAGGTTTACTTGATTTTCCCCCTTTATATGAAGCTTATTTGGGTGAGTGTTCAACTCTTGGATAACTAATTTAAAAAAAAAAAAAAAAAAAAAAAAAAAAAGCCAACTCCTACTGAAACTCTAAATACCAAAGGACTTACTGTGGCCAAGTTAGGCACAAAAAGCTTTTCCATTTGACCGTAAGTGACAGCGAGAGCCTGCAAGGCCTTCTCCTTCGAGGGGGACACACAGTACCCTGAGAATTCAGGGGATGAGAATCAAAGAGCCCCATCAAGTGTACAGGGCAGAAGCTTGCCAACACTGACGAACAAAGCCCCCTCTGCGGATCACATAAAGCAGAGGGTTAACGGAGCGCCTAGAGGCACTGGGGGGGGGGGGATGAGTGGATGCTGATGGCTGGCTTTATCACTTTGCACACTTTTCCTTCCCCGACCTGGACCTCTGGATTCAGATTTCTGAGATAGTGATAAAGAGGAAACAGAAAACTTCCACTGGGGATGACAAAATGTTCTCAGGACGCTTGTTCTTTAGGCTATAATACCATTCAAGGGTCTTTCAACATGTTTCATGATATAATGCGCTCTAAGAGATTTTTTTTAAAGATTTATTTATTTATTGTGTATACAATATTCTATCTGCATGTATGCCTGGATGCCAGCAGAGAGCATCAGATCTCATTATAGATGGTTGTGAACCACCATGTGGTTGCTGGGAATTGAACTCAGGACCTCTGGAAAAAGTCAGTGCTCTTAACCTCTGAGCCATCTCTCCAGCCCCAACGCTCTAAGGGATTTAAGGGCACTGCTGGGACATCACAGAGTGTACTTACACACACGAAATCAGCTATGAGTAGGCTAGGTGGTATAATCTTATAGGACTACCATCATATACAGTGACTGTCCCTGATGGGACTGTCATAAGGTTGTGACTATGGCTCACAGAAGTCTACTGGCCTCAGTAGCTTTGCAGTAAATTGTGGGTCTCCTAGCTTGAAAGCAACACCTTCACAGTGCTGGCATCAAAAAACAGGACATCATGTGATGTTCTAATCATACCTTTAGACATTGACTGAATGCAAAGGAATCGGACTTTCAATGCTGTTGATGTGATTGCTGGTAATTCACATATTTGAAGATGACACTTAAGAAAACACATTCAGCCAGGCAGTGGCGCACACCTTTAGTCCCAGCACTAGGAGGCAGAAGCACACTCATCTATCTCTCTGAGTCTGAGGCCAGGCTAGTCTATACAGTAAGTTTCAGGACAGCCAAGGCAACATATGAGGCCTTGCCCTTTCCCCCCTTCCCCTAAAAAAAAAAAAAAAAAAAAAAAAGAACAAGAAAAGAAACTTAAGATTATGTCTAAAAGCAGAACTACTAGAATTGAAGGGTAGCATAGTTTTAAGACGTTCAGTTGGATGTGGTGGAACATGCCTCTATACCTGCACAGGGAAGGCAGAGGCAAAAGAATAAGATTATCTTAAGGTACAAGTCAAGTGTCAGGCCAGGCTGGTCTATAAGACCTTTGGCTCAAAAAGAAAAAGGGGGCCAGGAGTGGTGGCACACACCTTTAATCCCAGCACTTTGGTGGGAGAGACAGGAGGATCTCAGTGAGTTCAAGGCCAGCCTGGTCTACATACTGAGCTCCAGGACAGCTAGGACTACAAAGGAAAACCTGTATAAAAAAGGAAGGGAGGGAGGGAGGAAACAGGGAGTAGTAATTTCCTTCAGTGATACAGCCACTGGTCAGCTGTCCACGCTGCAGTAAATAATATCCACCCATGTTGATGCAGTCAACTCCAAACTCCGAGATCAGGGAAAGAGCACAGACAAGGGGGAGGAGGGGTGAAGGGGGAAGAGGGGGGCAGGAATGGGGACAGAGGGAAAGGTTGTTGGGAAGAAGAGGTTCAGGGGGAAGGGAAATGAGGTTAAGAGAGAGTAATGGGGTGAGCATGATCAAAATACACAGAACTCATGTATATATTGTGGGTCAATTTTTCCCACCAAACCCTGAAAAAGCCTCCAAAAACCATCTTTCTAAATTATTTGCATTCAAACTGCCCACTTTGTAGGCATTATATTAAAAAACTTTATTTTGGAAGTGTTTTTGTCTTGAGACAGTGTTTTGTTCTCTTTGGCTTTGTGGCCCAGGCTGGCCTTGAACATCCCGACTCTCTTGCCTCAGCTTCCTGTATACCTTAGATTACAGACATGCACCACAATGCCCAGCTGGCAACTTTTTACTTATTTTATTGTAATTTTAGTTTCTTCAAGACAGGGTTTCTCTGTGTAGCCCTGGCTGTTCTGGAACTTGCTCTGTACACTAGGCTGGCCTTGAACTTGGAGATCCACCTGTTTCTGCCTCTTGAGTGCAAATGCACGTGTCACCAGACCTAGCACTTATTTTGATTAGTTTTACATTTTTATTATGTTTTATGTAGGGGCTGTGAGGTACACGTTCCACAGCACATGCGTGTGGAGCTCAGAAGACAACTTGCAAGATCAGTTCTCTCCTTCTACCATGCAGGTCCCAGGGATCTAATCCAGGGTTGGAAGCAGGTGCCTTTCCCTGCTGAGTAATCTCTCTGGCCTCTAGCCTTTGTTTTGTTCTGTTTCTTGAGACAGTGTCCATGTAACCCAGGATAACCTTAAACTTCTGGTTCCTGCCTCTCAAATGCTGGGATCATAGGCATGTGTCACCAAAACCAGCCACAAAAGTTGTTTTGTTGGTACATAAACAGGTATGTGTGTATACAAACATGCGGGCACATGTATGTTACATATAAAAGCTGCTTCTTAATGACAAAGCATCATATGATCAAGCAGAAAACTTTGAAAATACAATGCACAAGATCAGTCATAATTTTATCACAATATCAAAGTTAACAATGTTCTTTCCAGAATGTATTTCTGCACCCTTCTTTACTGTTTCACAGTGTTTATGATTAGATGGTCTCCTTTTCATTTATAAGCACATGGCAAACACTGGCACCATGCAGGGATAACTGCATGCTTTATTTAACCAGTTAGTTTTACTTCTTTGCTGATGTGTGTTGTAGATGCCCTTGTCCCTGCATTCTGCATGCATCTTTGATTATTTCTTTGGGACAAATCCCTAGGAGTGGAATTACTGGATCAAAGAGTAAGCATATTTTTAAGACTTTAAAAGCCATTTTGCCAAATTGCTCTGTGAGCAGCGTAACAGGCGGCTTTAATACAGTGAAACGGAAATTCTCATCCAGCTCCCATCTGTGGCCCATGTCTTCACTCCGACTTCCTAGGCTGCCATACCTAAAGGAATTTAAAACAATTTTAAATAAGCTTAAGCACTGAGTCATTAGGCAGGAAAATCTGACAAAAATGCTAAGTCTATTCTAAAGCCAAAATAAATGACTTTGGGATTAACATTTTTTTTTTTTCTGAAGTAGCAAAGTTAATCATTTCATTTGTGCAGGTACTGGGCCTTTTTAAAAAACTCTTTTGGAGGAACCAAGAACCCTGATAAAAGAGCTTTAAGGGCCTTTATTTATTTATTTGCTTATTACTTATTTAAACTGTGTCTCTCTAGGTAGTCCTGTCTATCCTGAAACTTGCTATGTATATTGTGGAATATTATTTTAAGATTTGTTATATTTGTTTATGCTGTGGAACATTTGTTTAATAGTGCAAAGATATCTTGCATTCTTTTATGTTGCATTTGTTTAACTCTGTGAAGCTGTGTGACTTTGCCTGCCTAAAATACCCAATTGCTCTACTAAAGAGATGAATGGCCAATAGCTTGGCAGAGAAAGGATAGGCAGGGCTGGCCAGCAGAGAGAATAAATAGGAGAAATATGGGAAGAAGGAAGATCCAGGAGCAAGGAGAAAAGGAGGAGAGAGGACTCTAGGGGCCAGCCACCCAGCCACACAACAAGCCACAGAGTAAGAAGAAAGAAAGATATACAGAAATAGAGATAGGCAAAAAAGATCGATGGAATAATAAAGAAAAGTTGTCTAGAAACAAGCCAACCTAAGGCCAGGCATTTACAAGAAAGAATAAATCTCTGCGTGTGATTTATTTGGGAGCTGGGTAATAGGATGTCAAAAGGGTCAAAGAGGCAAAGAACATAAAGTAAGAAAACAATTAACAACCATGTAGATCAAGCGGGCCTTGAACTCAGAGATCTGCCTGCCTCTGCCTCCTGAGCGCTTATGGGCATGTGCCACCAATGCCCAGCTATATAGTAAAATCTTAATGGGCTTATGAATGGTCCCTAAACACAGGATAAAGAAAGGCTCAGGTGCCCTCAATCTAACTTTTTAACTAGAAAACTTCCTAGTGAGGTCAAATGTGGATATTTTTCACATAACAAAAAACAAGACTATAAGTAAACATTTAACTGAGCACCTACTATGTGCTATACATCATTTAGGTATACTCTCCTCATCACTTTAACACTCCTGTGCCTATGTTCATGTGTGGCAGGTGCAGGTATGTGGGTGTGTGTGCATGCAATAGAAGCCAAGGATAACTTTGGCCATTATTCCTCAGGAGCCACCCGCATGTTTCCTTTGAGACAGGGCCTCTCCCTGCCCTGAAGCTCATTGATTCACTGGACCTGGAGCTCACTGGCCAGGGAGCCCTGGGGACCCACCTGTTTTCAGCCCCCATCACTGGGATTACAAGCTTGTGCTGCCATGCCCAGGCCTTAGCAGTTTACCATCCTTGCTTTAATCCCAGCATCAGGAGGCAGAGGGAGGCATATCTCCGTGAGTTGGAAGCCAGGACAGCTACCAGAGAAATTCCAGGGCTAC